TGCAAACACCAAACAGATGTGTAAAGTAGGGCTGGGTGGGGGTGCGAGCGTCTGAGCATGTCAGAGAAGAGGCCTGGATGGAGTCTGGGTGCCGGGTCGTGGGAGTGTCCAGATCAGCAACAGCCGATAGAAAACAGGCCGGCTGTGTTCCGGGCGGGCTGAGACTGCGGGTCTGAGTTAGTCCTGGGGCTGCAGCCAGACGGTGCTGCTGAGGTTCGGGTGGGGAGAGGGAGATCCCAGCCTGGCCGCTCTCTGAGCAAAGGGGCCTGGGCTCAGGAGATAGCGGGAGGTGAAGGGAAGGTGGGCGCTGGTTCTGTTCCCAGCGGGGCTTGGGCAGGAAGGACAGGATTGGACATAAACCGGGATGTTTAAGTAGAGCGATCTATCCTCAGGTGGACCCCTCCGCACCTTTCCCAGCTGAAGCCCAGAGAGGTAAGGGGTGCTTCCCAGGCTGGGACCTGGAATGACCCCGAGGAAGCCCAGTGCCTCTCACAGCTCTGAAGGTGGATCAAGTCCCATGAATCCAACGACGCCTGCGATTCCATCTGCTTAGTGCTGTCCTGCTTTTCCTGGGGACTCTACTAGGCCCCAGGGGCGTGGCAGCAAGTGACCACAAGCTAGGTGGCTTAAGACAGCAGAGATGTATTCTCTCTCAGTTCTGGAGGCCAGAAGTCCAAACTCCGGGCTTGGCAGGGCTGTGCATCCTGTGAAGGTGCCAAGAGGGGAGAATCTGTTCCTCGCGTGCGGTCCTTTCTGCGGCTGATGTTGCCAGCAGGCACTTGCTCCTCCGCTTGTAGCCTCGTCACTCTGGCCTCTGCCTCCATTGTCGCATGGCTTTTTCCCTGTGTATCTTTATTGTCACATGGGCTTCTTATAAGGACAATAGTCATTGGACTGGGTCCCATACTAATCTGACTGTATCTTAAATGGATTATATTTGAAACCCCTATATCCAAATAAAGGCCGCATTCATGGGTACTAGCAGTTAGGACTTGACCATATTTTGGGGGAGACAATTCAACCCACAACAAATGCTCACACCCAGACATGGTGTCAGACAAGGGCTGGCATCTCCAGAGGAGGGTCTTGAACCCAGGCTCTCCCCAATGGGGACAATTAAAAGCCAGTGAGGTGGGACTTTGTACTCCTCCATCTCCTGAGTAAGCTGTGTCAGGCAGTGTGGGCGGCGGGTACGGGGGCAGGACCTTTCTCATCTGCTGCTCCGGAGCCTGCAGCCTGGGAAACCATCCTCAGGGGTGGAGGGCAGCATGCGTGCAGTGGTGGTGGTCCTTGGGCAGTCCTAGGGCAACCTGGCTGAAGTCACCACATCTGTGCTCCTTCTCTTTGGCCTCCCAGACCCCAGGCAGAAGGCACTGCTGTGCCCCCTCGTGATCAAGGGGCTGGAGCTTTAGAGGGAAGGGCACCAGCACAAGGTCACAGACAGATGGCACTTAGATCCACTTCTGGGCTGACCTTCTCACCCTCTGTGCCACATGGACCAAGGGAAGCAGGAGTGATGACCCCTGTCCGGACCATGCTTGACCCCTTCAGTGGCACTCATCAAACAGCATCTGTACCAGCTGGGAATGTTTTCAGTGGTCGTGATGGAAAACCCAACTAACAGTGGCTTAAATAATTCAGGATTTGTTGTTCTTACATAACAAGGAGCCAGATTGTGGGTGTTGGTTTAGCACAGACAGGGTTTCTCAATTTCAGTGCTTTGGACATTTTAGGCTGGATTTTTCTTTGCTGTGGGAACTATCCTGTACACTAGGATATTTAGCAGCTTCTCTGGCCTCCACATCCTACGTGCCAGTAGCATTCCTTCCCTCAAGTCGTGACAACCAAAAATGTCTCCAGATGTTGTCAAATATCCCCTGCACTTAGGAGTATCAAGACTGGTGCCTTGTGAGTCTCCTGGATTTTGCCTCATAATCACAAGATGGCTGCTACAGCTCTAGACATCCCACCCATGTTCAGGACAGAAAGAACGACGAAGGGCTAATACCAGCTACTACTGTCTCTTTAGCAGAAAAGTGGAAGCTTTCACAGCAGCCTAACAGACTTCCACTTACTTCTCACTTCACTCAACCTCTCTGAGGTCACACCTGCCCAGCCCTGGAAGTGGGGACACTAGGCCACCTTAAAGGCTGTGGGGAAGACACAGTGGGATCATGGAAAAGCCAACCATTTACTGCCATCTGTGGCTTTGGGGAAACCACTCTGGGCCTCAGTCCCCTCCCTCTCAAAACTGGGGTAATAGTACCTACCTATGACAAAGGTTGAAGTTAAATAACCTGTGTAAGACACCCAGTCAAGGACCTGGCTCAAAACAGGCACTCCACAGTAACTGACATTTATTGTTATTAGCGGCATGTGAGGATTGACCACATCAAAGTTCCTGGCACTCAAAAAATATTCGCTAAATGGCGGCTGTATCTCTCACCTCTGAGCATTTGCATTCTCTGTTCCCCATGCCCCAGTGGCTCTAGCTCTCGCAATTTCAGTGCCTTTTCTAGCCCTAAAGAACAGTTTTCACCCCTGGCTCCTCTCCTGCCCCTCTTCTTCGCTCCCTTCCCATCACCTAATTGAAAAAGTTACCTAAATTTAAGTCATTGTTCTTCTACTTCTAACAGGTAAGCTCCAGGCGGCGGCCTGCATTTGTTTCCTTCTTAGAGTGTCCTGGGGCCTAGAACTGGGCTGTTATCTGATGGAGCATTAAGAAGTGCGTGTTGAATGAATGGCTGATTCTCAGACATTACGGCACGAGGGGGCGACCGGCGGATAGGCTGGCGATACGGCAAACTAAGGGGCCAGACGATGAAAATGGGAACGAAACCCATACTTGGGCATCGGCTTTTTAGGACACTGGTGCCCCCTCCCGGGCGGGGCAGGAGAGCCGGGTGCAAGCCCAGCGGGGCCCGCCGTGGACAAAGCTCCGCCTACTCCCACGCTTTCCCCTCTTCTTACGCTGCGTCCGGGGCCACTGCGATCCCTGCGGCGACCCAGGCCCCGGCACCCGCACGTGCTCCGAGACACCGCCCCGCGCAGCCGCGCTCCGCGTGGACGCACCCCCAAGCGGCTGGTTGGGGAGGGGCGGGGAGGGGGCGGGGCCGACGCGGGTGGCGCTGGGACTTGTAGGCGACATGCGGGCTAGGCGTGTAAGAAAGGCACCGCCCACCCTGCCTAAGCCCGTCTTGGCTTCCGCTGGGGGCAGCCGCCCAGAGGTCCCCTCTGTCATGGAAAGGGAAACTGAGGTCCGGTGAAAGGACCCAGTTTGACCAAAACCACGCGACCGGGCGGGGACCGTTTTTCCCTGGCCTCTAGGGAACAAGGCTAGGGTCACCCTCTAATCAAAGCTTTTAAAGGGTGCCCCGAGGGTTCCTTGTCTGGTGAAGAGTTCTCACCTCCGTTCCCTCGGGCATCAGCAAACATTTCCCAGGGGCTCTTCGCTCAGCTAGGCCCTATAGCTTAAGCAAATCATCCAAGGTCCCACCTAGCACGGGTCGGTAGGGGGTGGGGGGCGGGGAGACCTTAAGCAAGCAGGGCAATCCGACTTGGGGAAATTTAAAGTATGTTGAAGAGTAAAAGCAGGATAAAGCCAAGCAATGAGGCAAAGGCCCCGAGGAGGCAGGGAGGTACCTTGGGAGTTGGGTTATAGGAGGCCACACTCTGAAGACCTGGGTTCCCGTTCCCTGCGTGAGGGGCCTAAGGAGAGGGCTGCGGAAGAAGAGCCAGTCTTCAGTGTCCACCGGGCGGAGTGGGGTTAGGGGGTCCAGGCACTTGAGACAGTTTGTCTGGGTTTGGTGTGTCAAACGCAGCCTGGACAGAGAAGGCTGGATAAAGGCCAAAAGACTGTGAACACTTGGCCTGCCTCCCTGTTCCCCGGCTCACCGGGTGCCACTGGCAGTCCCCGTGGGCCCTAGCTTGTGTTCCACTGCCCCAGAGGAGGCCATAGTGCTGGGGCCAGTAATGACCCTGCTCAGACCGCACTTCCCGACCGCACACAGCGCCGCAATATCGGTGCCTGGACATGGAAAGGGTTTGAGGCCTCCCGCCACCACCTCTTTCCCGCCCATCTCAGAGCTGGGATCTGCACGTGGTGTGATCCCCTGGGGGATGACTGGTGACAGAGCACGCCCTCAGAAAGGCCCACATTCGGTTTAATGCACTACTGTCTGGTGTGAAATTACTAATCACTTCGGGCAAGGTCTGTAGGCAAGTCCTGCCCGGTGCGAAGCTCACAGAGGCCCCCAGACGTGCTCGTTCCTATGGCTGGGGACAGTGACAGAGGGAAACGGACGCCCTCTGCTTGCTTTTACCCCCGACGTCACCCACACAGAGGGAGGAATCCCCCAGCCTGGAATGGACCTTTGAAGAAGCAAGAACTACTTCCCCAGCCCAGTCATCTCCTCGGAGAGGCCCCTGGGATAAGGCCGGCTCCTCTCGAAGGCAGCATCTTAATTTATTTCCTCCGGATTGTATTTCATACATTTAACGTTGAACCGTTTGCATTATCTATAGAAGCTCCATGGGGCTGGGCAGTATGTTGTGCATCCGTGCAGCAGCCACCCTGGAGTGCCTGCTGCAGGAGGGGCTCTGGTAAGTATTCGTCGAACGAATTATTTTATATCTAAGACAGAAACCTTTTATCTTTTAGATGTTGCTGTATCCTAACTGGCTCTGGGATACACTTTGACTCAATAAACATGATTCTAATAATCGTTTACCTCTAATGCACGAGACCGTGCGCTCCAAGGGTACGGCCCTGGGGTCTGGGTTGAGGCCCGCCCGCAGCCAGTCCTCTCTAGAAAGGCCCCAGAGCGCGCTCCCCGCCCCCGCCGGGCGCTCAAGCAGGCCGCGGGGCTTCCCTGCGCGCGGGGTGCAGCGGGGCGGGGTTCGGACTACACTTCCCGGCGGCCCCCGCGCTCCCGGAATGGGGCGGGGAGGGGGCGGAGTCGGCCGGCTGGGGCGGAGCCGGTTACAAAGCCCAGGGGCGGGCGTCGAGGCGCAGTTCCCGCAGCGCCGGCGGAGCGTAGCGTAGCGCGTAGCGCTCGGCGGTAGCGGCCGCGAGTGGACGGGCCCGGCGGCTGGACCGGTGGCGCCGCTGCTCCGCTCGTCCCCCGCCGCCCTCCATGAGCGCAGCGCCGTGCGGCCCGTGTCCGTAGGCGGCGGGGCGCCCCCCATGCTGCTGCAGCCCGCGTCGTGCGCCCCGAGCTCGGGCTTTCCTCGGCCGCCGGCCGCCCCCGGCGCCATGCACGGCTCGCAGAAGGACACCACGTTCACCAAGATCTTCGTGGGCGGCCTGCCCTACCACACCACGGACGCCTCTCTCAGGAAGTACTTCGAGGGCTTTGGGGACATCGAGGAGGCCGTGGTCATCACCGACCGCCAGACGGGCAAGTCCCGCGGCTACGGCTTCGTAAGTGGCCCGCGGCCGGGCGCGCACCCCGCCGCTCACGTATCGCGGTCCGGGGCGGTGAGTCAACCCCCGGGCGCACGCCCAGCCGTCCCGAGCGTCTCCCGCCGGCGCGGCACCTGCCGCCCCCTCTCGGGCTCCCGCCAGCCTGGCCTTCTCCCTGCCCCCATCCCGCGCGTTTTAAAGGGAGAGCCGCTGTGCTTAATTAGGACTCCTAGGCTCGTGGAGAGGTTTTGGGGGGCGGGCGGCTCCTCTCAGGACTTCCTGGAGCAACAAAGGAACAGGAGCAGAGACTTCACCCCAGGGCGGCCTGGAGCCCTATAGCCTGCCACCTCATGTTTCCAACGGATCCCTCAGCCGCCCCTCATAAACATCATTTTAAGTACAAAACGTTTGGAAGACGCATCTCCTACTTCCCTTCTAACTCCAGTATCCCCAAACCCCTCCCATGAAGACACTTGCTGCCCCCACGAGCAGGCAGGCCAGGCTGGGGCTCCTGCCTCTCTTTGGGTTGGGGTTGGGATTGGGATGGGTGCCTCATTTCCCCTGGGGGTTGTTTCTATCCTTGAAGGCAGGGTTTCCCGGCACTTGAACTTGTGGGGAGGAGCTGAAATCCGGATGGCAGCTTTGTGGGAGGGCGCCAGGATGGGGTCAGAGGGTCCTGGGCTAAGTGCTGTGGGTAACTGGCACCCTGGGAGGGGGAAGTGAGCACCCCTCCTTGGGCAGAGCCCTCTGCCTCCCCCACCAGCAAGGGAAGCCCCTGATGGGTCTGCTTCCCCAGGTGACCATGGCTGACCGGGCAGCGGCTGAGAGGGCTTGCAAAGATCCTAACCCCAATATCGACGGCCGCAAGGCCAATGTGAACCTGGCCTATCTGGGCGCCAAGCCCAGGAGCCTGCAGACGGGTGAGAGCCTGTTTTCTTTCTCTGGGTTGCTATATTCAGCGTTGGTATCTGGTGGGTAGAAAGGCCCCCCTCGCCCTGCCCCAGGAGTGGCACTTGGCTGTCATGTGCTTGCCTAGAGCTGTCACAGAGCAGTCATACCCCAGTTTGGGAGCTGGACCTCTTCGTCCAGCTGTGTGTGCCAGTGGGATGGGCACTGAGAGCGCCTCACCCAGTTGTCAGCTGTCCCCAAGGGAGGGAGGAAGTTTGTCCCCAGGGCTGGAGATGAGGAGGGCAGGCACTTGAGGCTGCTGTCACTCAGGTCCCTTGGCTGGGAGCCTCGGGGTTTGTGGAGGGGTGGCCTGGGAGTGGAGGGGAAGTGACGGTCCCTTTTGATGGGTAGTGGACCTGTTTCCTCTTCCTTGTGGGGCTCAGTCCCTAACTCTTCTGTCCTCTTAGGCTTTGCCTTTGGCGTGCAGCAGCTGCACCCCACCTTGATCCAGCGGACCTACGGGTAAGTAGCCGTGCCCAGCTAGTGGACGGGGTGTGGGCACAGCCCTTGGAGACCAGGCTGGTGGGCTGGGGGCTTCCTGGGTCTCCCACTGTGGGCGCTCGTGGGGGAGCCTTTAACCCCAGGACTGCCAGCCCCACAGCATCCTTTGTGCCGTTTGCAGCCACCTTTTCGTGTCTGAGAACCATCACTCTCTCCAACTTTGTGAAATGGGATTGCGTTTTGGGGTGGGGGTGGGGGCAAGTGAGGAGAGGTGAGAGAAGGCAGACTGAATTTCTCTGCCCCTGGCAGAGGCCAAGCCACAGACGGGGGAAGGGGGGCAGCATGAGCTCTGAAGCCTGCCCTCCCGGGTTCAAACCCAAGCCTCCCCCTTTTTAATCGTGTGACCTCCGTGGTTTATACAGATGTTTGTGCCTCATTTTCCACCCCTGGGAAATGGGGGCAGTGGTGACAGCACCTCCGAGTTCCCTGAGCAGAGGGCTTAGGTCAGGCCTGGGCTGGTAGGTATGCGCTCTGGAAGTGTTTATTGACATTCTTAGGAACAGGCAGCAGGGCTTGTCTGGGGCGCCCCTCTGACCTGCTCTGGTGCCCAGCAGATGGTGACAGCAGGTTGCTGCCAACCTGGGTCTGATGTTTGTGAGAGTACAGCAGGTGAGACGGGATCAGGGCCAGATGTCCCCGGCTGAGTGGGCCCGGCCTGTGGGCCTTTTGTCTGACGTGCTTTGGAGCAGCGTGTCCCACCCTCCTCCACTCAAAAAAAGCCCCCCTCCCCTTGCCTTTTTTAAAAAGACCTCTAATAAGGCCTGGCAGCTGCTTGGAGAAGGACACAGGCACTTCAGGGGCACAAAGGAGCCTGCCATGCAGTCTGACTTCTCAACCCCTTGATTGATGTTGCTTGTGTGCCCTGGTGCAGGGAGCATGTTGATGGGGTTAGGGGTTTGTTCTCCTGGGGGTGGGAAGGGCAGTCACAAAACAAGGAGCCCCTTTTAGACAGTTAGCTCTTCTTAAGCTATCAAAGCCCAAATCCTGGGCTCTGGATGTTGTTGTCAAGATGTGCCCGAGAGCAAGGCACTGTTTGAGGAGCAGCCTGGCTCACTGGTGGGGTTGGGAGCCAGGCTTGGCCGTAGCAGATCCTTGGTCATCTGGCTGAACTGCCCAGATGTCCAAGATAGGAGTAATCGCCACTTAGCACAGCGCCAGCCTGGGGGGCTGGGTGCTGTCTGACCCCTGCTCCTGTCCTCACGACAGCCATGAGGTTGGGAGGATAATTTCCCTTGCTTCATAGATGAAGAAAATAAAGCAAAGAAGGTTCGAACGTGTCCAAGGCTGCTGAAGTGACAGGATTTGAACCCTGGGGTGCGGGCTCCAGAACCCACACACTCTGCTCTCTGGGGCCACAGGTGGGGAGAGCATCCCAGCCTTTCTTCTCATGGTCCCCTGAGTAGTACTACCCATGTGAGGGTAGCTGGGAGTCATCACAGATTTTACCACTGTGTGCTCCCAACTTCAGTGACATTTTGTAACAAAATCTGTTGGCCGGCTGGCATTGAACACCTGTGACACTGAGGCAGCCTCCAGCTCTGTCTGTTTGTTACCAAGGGTGGGGACCCAGGGTGGGATGTGGGTCAGTAGGACTGTCCAGATCCTCATTTCCGCACTGGTGGACTGAAGCCTCCCGGTCTCGCCACCTGCCACCAGGCCTCGCTGGGATCCACAGTGGCGGGAGGGGCTCCCACAGGCTCTGCGCAGAGGGGGCTGGACTGGGCTGTCTGGGTCAGCTGTCTTCTCCCAGCGCCTGCTTGCCCAGCCAGAGAGTTGGGCCATCAGCGTCCCTTTTGTCTTTGCAAACAATCGGGCCGGAGCGCAGCCGGGCCTGACTCAGCAGTCGGGTCTGTCAGCTTTGGGCTGGGCAGTGAGGCCAGGCTGCCTTGGCGGAGGTGGGAGCCGGAGCCTGGGCGGCTCAGAGCTTTTTAAACCAGTTAACTCCTCTCCCGCCTGGGAGAACTTTGTGTCCCTGATCGTCGGCCTTGCGCAGCTGAAGATTCCACAGCCCCACTTTTGAGCAAGTCCCCTGCAGAATCCTCGCTTGGCTGGGCCATAAATGTTAGTGTGGAAAGATTGACCAAAGAACTTTTATACTTCATGCTTTTTGCTTGGATTCCCCTGTACCAGATTTTCTTTTTTAAGTTGAGTGGGATCTTTCAGGACTTAAGTCAGCCTGTGGGTTTCTGTCGCGAAACTATATATGGGGCGGAGGCCTGGCATTTGGAGAAGCCTTCCTTGGCTGGTAACAAGCGACTTAATCGCGGGAGGAGACAACTACAGCCCAAGACCACCCAGCTGAGTGCTGCCGGGTGGCACAGTCAGCAGCCTGAGCAAGATGGAAGGTCAGGGTAGCGTGGAGAGGACATGTGCCCAGGCAGAGCCCTGGGTCTGGCTTGGAAGGGACATCTTAGTGTCAGGGGGTATCTGGGCCTGGGCCTAGGGCCTGCCAGGATGTGGGCCTGGCTGCACGTGAAAGCCTCTCCTGGGGTTATTTTTGAAGGGCCAGCTGCTTCTCTGGGTACAAGCCCCTACCTTGTTCTTGAGGGGGCCTTGCTGGGGCTCCACACATGTTTGCTGTAAACCCCACTCTATGCCACGCATGGGGCCACAGGCCCTGGGGCTGCAGACAACAGCACAGGGTCCAGGGCCTGTTGTGTATCAGGTATTCTGGGTGCTGGAGCAAGGGCTCAAGGCCAGGCGTAACCCCTTCTCTGGAGGGTCCTCTCCTGTCTGGTGGGGACCTCGACAGTGCCACCTTGCAAGGCTGAATTGAGTGTGAAGTGAGCACCTCGTGTGCAGAGGCAGTTGGTCGGGGCCTGGCCCTCGGGAAGACTGGGGATTTGTCAGTGCCATGTGAGCATCTGCAGGCTTGGTTGAGAAACTGGTGTGAACTCACAGTGCAGGGCCTGGGCTGCAGGTTCTGGCACCTTTGTTCCTTCCCAGCACCTCCCTCTGGACAGCTCTTAGAGCAAAGCCAGACCCCCAGAACCTTCTCCCAGGCAGTACGCACCACACTAGGCCTATAGTTTCAGGGACCCCTGCACCCTTTGTATGAAGACCCCCACTGCCCAAGTGGAGACCCTCTGCCCGCACCATCACCAAGCCATGGGTATGTGCATACTGAGGGGTCTGCACAGAGCTCCTGGGTCTCTGGGGAGTGACAGGAAGATCCCTGTCCTTCCAAAAGTGTGGAGTCCACAGGGCTGGCAGAACGTAAAGAGCTGTTCCCAGAATCATTCACCAAGTACTTATGGAGCACCTACTGCATGCCAGGCCCTGTGCCTGGGGTACTTTGAGTAAGACAGACACAGTCAGTTCTTTATCTCCAGGTGCTCACTTTCTAGTGGGAGCTAGACCATTAGAAACCCATCTGTGCTTGCAAGGGCCTGACTCACCGGGGTGGTTGGCCAAGGGACTCCGTTGTGCAGGCAGAGCGGTCCTCTGTGGTGGTTGTAATATGGGTGGCAACCTCTGCATGTGATAGTGTCGTGGACTTACACACAAAGACACACTGAAAATGCAGAGAGTCAACCAAGGATGAGAGCCTCGTCAACAGCGATGTGTGTCTGTTGGGGTCCTGGTTTCCATGATGCTTGGGTCCTGGAAGATGTCAGCGCTGGGGGACACTCAGAGGGTACGCGGGACCTTGCCGTGTAGTTTTTTGCAGCTTCTTAGGATTCTATCAGTATTCTATAACATGAAGTGAATGAAGCCTGTGGTGGGGGCTGGTGTTACAGTGCCTGGAGGAGGATCGGCACCATAGAGGCAGCGCCTTGGGGGTGCGCCAGGAAGTGAGGTCAGGGCTGGAGGCAACTAGGGCTGGGAGGAAGCCAGTGCCCTCTTCCCCTTGTGGTGTCACGTGGCTTGTTTTTACTTTCAGGGGTGTCTCAGGGTGGCCCTGCCTGCTCCCCACGCCGGAGCTTCCTGTTTGGCACTCACTGGAGCAGGGCGTGGGCCGGCGTGTGGCCCTCCCCGGCAGGCCACCGTGCACACCTGTTGTTTGTCCCCATCTGCTGTAACAGAAACCAGCCTTCAGGGCGGGCCTGGGGTTCCTCTCTGAGCATGAGCTCCTCACTCTGGCCTGCTGGCCCTGCAGGAGGGCCTCTGCTGCCAACGGCTGGACAGCCTTGTACACAGGGCTGGGGCCAAGGGGGAGGCCTGACCACAGGCTGGCCGGGTGTCTAAATCACCCCCGGGTGTATCCCAGAGAAGGGGTAACAGGCTCCCAGGTGGGCCAGCCTGCCCCTTCATGCTGCACTGGGAAGAGCATTGGTAAGGAGTCTCAAGACCCCTCTTCTGAGTGGTCTGTGTGACCCCTTGTTCTCGTGACTGTGCCTTATTGAGCCTCAGTTTCCCCATCTGCCTCTCAGACACAGTGAGAGCCCTGCAGCTTGCTGGTTGCATCTGGGTCACCCTGCTGGCCCCTCCCGTGCTGGTGCAAGGAGAAAGCTATGTGTTCCCTCATTCCATTCAACACACGTTTGCTTGCATTGTGCTGGCTGGGTTACTGTGGGGATGGAGGGAGACCCGGCCCTGGTTTATAATTACGCAGAGCCTGCTGCCAAGGGGGTGCTGAAAAAGGGAGTCATCGTGTTTCAGGTGGCAACAGCTGCTGCTGGGGAAAAAGGAGCCACTGGGCTGGGGGGCCAGCATGAGTGATAGAAGGAAATGGGAGGTGTCAGGGGCTCAGGGGCCCAGCAGGGCTGCCTCGGCTCCTGTGGGGCTGTGGTGGCCCCGGGAGAATTTGGATTTTACCCTGCATGATGTGCGGCTGCAGCGGGCCCTCCTTGGAGGGCTGGGCCACTTGTGTCTGAAAAGCCTCCCTCCGGCTGCTGGGCCTGCAGTGCCGAGGCCGGGGTGCATGCCCCGCTCGGGACCACGCCATAAGCTAGGTGCGAGGCCGTGGGTGCTGCTGGCCCGGGGCCGTGGTGAGAAGCTGTGAGATTCTGTATACACTT